TTTCAGGAATGTAAAAGAAGAGTCTATTGGAATTTTTTTCCAATCAATCTGAAGGCGAATAACTACAACAGGGATTGTTCTCATTGCCACATTTTGAGATTTCGATTTCAATTTGAAGGTTTTCTGAAGATCTTCAAAAAACAATTGCAGCATGCAGGGACTGCAGTTACGGTCAATAAAAACACATTCTGACTTTGCGGTTCTACTCCCGATGTCATGGCGATTTGCTTTGATTGTTTTGACTGTGTATTTCAAAAGTCCCATAAAGGATTCATGGATACTATCTCTGTAACCGGGTTTGGGTGGATTCAAACTAGGATTTCTTCATATTTCCTTTCCATAGAATTTTGCTGATTTTCCTCTGTTGTTATTATTTGAAAAATTATTTTGACTGTTTTTCTTCAGGTTATTATTATCATTATTATTATTAAAGTTGTTGGTGCTGCTGTTGATGTTGGACTGCTGCTGCTGAAACAATTGTTTAAAGGATTAAAAACAAAATAGGAATAATTATCAATAATAAATAAATAAAAATAAATAAAAATAAAATAAATAAATAAAAATAAGGAAAAAAATAAATAAATAAAATAAATAAATAAAAATATGAAAATAAAAAATAAATAAATAAATATTAAAATAAAATTATCATCTTTTTTAAACGTTAGAAAGAGGAAACATCGTTTTTTTATTTACCAAAATAAATTCATCTAGGGAAAAGATCCTAAAACTTCTTAAATGTTGTAAATGAATCTTTTCGTCAAATACGGCTTTAATGATCAATAAACTTCAAACTATTTTCCTCAAATATAAAAATAACAGGACGAAAAGTCTGGGATTTAAAATTATTCTCTAGGGTTTTCAAAGTTGCTCCAAATAAAAGAAATTACAAAGCCAAGAGGGTTTATAGCACAATTTATGCTCGTATTTTGAAACTGTTGACCCAAAAATTTTTTATCCATGGACTGTAGCGTTTGAAGTAAAAGATCAGAATGATGAATTTGGTTGTAAAAAATAGCAGTCGTCATACTTTCCTCAACAAGGGGCAACTCAAAATTCTTTGGAAATTTAATAAAGAAAATTAAAGAATCTTTTAAAAGAATCAGGACGAAAACGGGTCTTAGTCTGCAAAGGTTAAACCTGTCAAATGGAATGGCCTTAAGTTCGTTTTAAGACATAACATTGAAATAGTAATAGATTCTGTTGACAAACAACGATTATTCTGTACGTAGGAAAGAGTCTTATCGCTCATATGGCTGTAGACGACACGTTCTTGAATCTACTGAGACTGGAAAGAGAACGGCTATTCTTGAAAACGCATTCAGATAAACAATTAAGATACATTTCAAAGGAAGGACAGAGTAATGTGAGACAGTAACAATTTATTTGGTAAAAGAAAAGAATACTAACTGCTACGTGATATCTGTCCTCCTTTACGGCAAAAATGTTGGACATCTCCTCAAAGATGAAAAAGAGGACTCGAGATAACGGAGGTTAAGTTCTACAAAGGATGCTAAGGAATGGATGGACCAAACTTTATGTGATCAACGATGAGGTTTGGGAAAAAATAAAAAAAGGAAAGCTTTTACTTAACATCAGGAATATAATTATAAATCTTTTTTGGGACACTGTAAATAAAGGAGGGTCAAGAATCTATAATTTTCAGTATAAATAGAGGAAAGAGAAAATTTTAAAGCAACGCATGACAAATAAGCAAATGGATTAGAACAGTTTTTGGGAGTCTGGCAAAAGGACAAAACATTAGTTAGAACTACAAGGGATACCTTAAAAAAGTTCTCAGCCCAATCAAGAACAATGTCCTGAAAAAACGTTGGCACATAAAAATGGATTTCTTTAACTTTTACTTCAAAACTATTATAAAATATTAAATTTTTAAATAATACCTCATAGAAAAAATTTAAACATATATTCCCCCATTGATCGTTGATATAAATAAGTTAATTTGATAAGGACATTATTTTAACCATTTTGGTGTACGTGTGTCTCATCTTTAAAATATTTTAACTAAAAATGACCATATACGTTTTTCTTTTAAATCTTGGCGATCAAGACATATAATAATGGTCGAATTTAATTAAAAGGTTATAGATATCTTCATCCAAATGAAATATCAACAGATACTGAAAGGCTGAATATTTTAATAAATATGGCAATAAAGATTAGGAAAATAGTTTTTAATGTAAATATGTTTACATAATAAAAATCTTTAAATATAGACAGATACTGAAAAATTTTTGAAAGTTTGGTAATAAATATTCGACAAAGATGATAATAATAGTCCGAATAATGTAAAATAGCGTAGAACTTTCATTACCTCAAAAATAAATATAGACAGATACTGAAAAAATTCGAATTGTTGTTAAATATGGCAAAAAAGATGAGGACAATAATCCGAATAATGTAAATAATGTACATAATACCTTATCTCAGAAATATAGACAGATAAATATAAGGGTGAAATTGTTGTAATCAAATATGGCAACAAAGATGAGGGACAATAGTCGGATAGAAAAAATTGTACATAGCGGAATTCATTTAAAAAATATGCAACAAAACTGATTTTTCTAAAACGTTTCAATAAATATTTTGACGACAAAAAGTACAATACCGAATAATGTAAATAATTTTACATAATACCTCATCTCATCATTTATAACAGATGACTGAATGGTTTAAACGTTACGTTTAAATATGGCGACGTTTCATAAGGACAAAAGTCGAATAATGTTAAAAATAGTGTACATAATATCTACAAATATGTTACAGATAGTGTGCATATTCTGTAATAAAAAACGTGTAAAAAGCTATAACGACAGATTTTGGACAAAATAAACAAGTTCAATCAAAATTTTCAAAAAATGACTTTCAAAGTTTGGATTTGGATTTTATTAAATATTGTTGTTAACATTAACAGAAACTATCTGAAAAAAAACCTAAATGTAAATACAAATAATACTTTCAGTTTAAAAATTTGATTGACGGAATAATTTTGTCTTAAAATTTTTGAATTTACTCTGTTTGTAAAAATATTTTTAAATTAAATTCTAAGTCAGATTTTACACTCCATTTGGCAGATCTCTGAAATTTAGTATGACAATAATGTGCACCGGGCAAACATGAATGTGATAAAAAACACACCATTATGCTGAATAACTTATCTGTTATAAGAAATTATTTTTGAATTGGATCAAAAAAAAAAAAATGATGCATCCTTCAATCGATCAAAAGGGGTTCTGATTAAATAGTTAGTAATTCTAAAATATTTTTGATGAAAACAAAAAATTCAAATGTAATTAGGGATCAAGATCATATTAGAATTGTTTTATCGTCACATTTAAATTTTTGAAAATGAAAGATAAAAACAAAGCTTTTATAAAAAAAGTTTCCATTATTTTCAATTAGTCAATGAAAAAAGCTTATTGGAGTTTAATGCCATTTGGGAAATTTTTCTGTTTGGATAAAATCCAAAAAAATTGACTTAAATAATTAAAAAATTTTCTCTTAATTTTCATGTATTAGGTACTTTAATTTTTCTTTAGCCTTTTTTTCATTTTAATTATAAAATGCCAAAATCTTTTATCACTGTATTTGAAATTTAATTCAGGTTCGAAATTGAATTTCTTTTCATTATTCGGATCACGTATCCGTCATTTACAATTACAATTAAATTTCTTTGTTCTTGAATATCAGTTGGGGTAAAAAATGATAAATTTTTCTAAGTATTTTCTTCGATTCTTATTTTCAAATTTACGATTTCCGTAATGCAATCGGTAAATTTACCAAAGTTTTTTATTTTATTATCAATTTTATTTTTAAATGTCATTTTTCATCAAAAATTTTCTGCAAGCTGTTGTTGATAAAAATTGGTGGAAAATTTTCTTTCTGAACAAAAATAAATTTAAAAATTATTTAGGACGACAAGTTTTGCCATCTTTACATTAATATTACTTGGAAACCTGTACAAAAAAATTTAAAAGATCACTTTAATAATTAAATAACATTGATGATAATTTAATATTTCAATAAATCCCAATGTTTTGTGAAACTCAAAAAGTTAACATATACTCAAGAAAGAATAATATATATAGATTAACAAAAAAATTGAGGTTCAAAAATTTACCAATTCAAATAATGTCACAGGGAAATTAGGAAATGAAAAATTAATAAAAACATAATAATCACAAAAGATGATATTCAATCGATATTAAAAAATTTTTTGCCCATATATATTTATATATTTAGGTATATATATATATTGAATTAATAATATAATGAATATAAACATATTGCAAATATATATAAATATATATATATAATTTATTAAATAAATATCGATGTATACAGATTTTACCATAGAATATAAATCCAATATATCTCAAAACAAATATAAAAAAATATTATAATATTTTATATAATGATAATATATATTAAATAATGATCATATATATAGATATATCATTGTTCAAAGTAATATATAAATATAAACACTTATATTATATAGGTATTTTATTAAATAATTTAAAAATATAATTAAATATCATGATAATATATTTAATCATTATATAATATTATAATATTATATATGCTATATACATATAAAATGTTATATTTTATTTTTAATTTTATATTATATATATTAAATGTTGCAATATATTTAAATATATAAAATAAAATTAAAATAAATTTTTATATAATAGATATTATATAATATGTATTTATATAAATATTATATACAATTTAGATAGAAAATGATATTGTTGAACAATTCTTAAATATATCTAAAACAAATTATTTAATAAAAATCTTTTAAAATCAATGCATCCATAAAGCATAAATTCACAGATGAAGAGAGAGAAAGAGAGAGGGTTTTTTTATAATAATGTAAAGATAGATAGATGATTTAATAAATCGTTTAGTTTTTTTGTGACTGTTTATAACATCAATCATTAAATGACAAATATTTTTAGATGAATGAATGACTTTTATAGATAAAAAATAGATAGATATATATATGGATATATATATATATATATATATATATATATATATATATATATATATAGATATATGAATAGATGATAAATGAAATAGATAGATAGATAGATAGATAGATGAAGATAGAATAGATAGATAGATAGATAGATAGATATATATGATGATAAATAGATAGATAGATGAATAGATAGATAGATAGATGATAGATAGATAGATAGATGATGAAGATAGATAGATAGATAAGAAATGAGATAGATAGATAGATGATGAAGATGATAGATAGATAGATAGATAATGATAGATAGATAGATAGATAGATAGATAGATAGATAGATAGATAGATAGATAGATAGATAGATAGATGAATAGATGAAAATAAGATAGATAGATAGATAGATAGAGATGATGAATGAATGAATAGATAGATAATAGATAGATAGATAGATAGATGATAGATATATAGATAGATAGATAGATAGATGAAGAAAAGATGAATGAATAGATAGATAATGAAGATAAATAGATAGATAGATAGATGAATAGATAGATAGATAGGAATGACTATAATAGATAGATAGATAGATAGATAGATAGATAGATAGATAGATGAATGAATGAATATAATAGATAGATAGAAAGATATTTTTAAAAAATATAAGAAGATAATGAAAAAAAGAATGATAATGTATAGATAGATAGATGAATGAATGGATTAGATATTTGAAATGATAATAGATAGATAGACACAAATGATGTAATAGATAGATAATGATAAATAATCTGATAAATAGATAGATAGATAGATAAGAAAAAATATAATAGATAGATAGATACATATCCAATAATTATCGAAAAAAAAAGAATTTTATCTTTGATATTAAATCTCAATTATCATTGAATATTAATATAATAATGAATACGTTCGTTCCATTTAATGGACGAAGCATTGAACATATTGATATTTAAATAAAAATATTTTTTCCCTCACAATTTAATGATTAAATAAATTCCCACTGTTATATAAAAACAAATCAGACATATAAAAATTTTAGATAAAAGAAAAGAAAATTAATAAAAAAAAAATTATGCTTAGATGAAAATTTAATGCAGTCATCAACTTATTATTTAGAAAAAAGCAATTTAAAATATCAACCGCCATTACCAACTGAAAACCTGAAAAAAAAAAAAAAAGTATGATTGGTCTTTTTTTTCCTTTTTTCCAATCAATTTTTTTTTCTCGATGACAAAAATTTTAAATATAAAATTATTTTTTGTTTCAACAAATTTTTTCTTTTCCTTTCAATAGATCTTTATTTCAATTAATATTAAATTTCTTTTTTTTCTTCTTTCTTTCCTTTTCAATTCGTTCAATTTGGAAACAACGTTCATTTCAAATTTTGTTTTCTTTTAATTCTTCAAATAAAAGTATTCACGCTTGACACAAGATTTTTTATTAAATATCGTCAATCTGAAACCTTTACAGTTCTGATAAAAATAAAAATTTTCAATAACTATTTTCAAAGGAGTCCTTCTAAAATATACATTTATTTTTTTATTTTTAAATTTTACTTTGAATCTTTCTATTTTCATTCCTTTTTGTTTTTTTTTTTTTTTTATTTGTTTTCTTTTTATAAAGGCTAGATATTCAATTATCAAAATATAAATTTGCGAATAAAATTTTTCTTCTTGCAGACAAGCAATTTAAATAAAAATAAAGGTTTTTTCCAGGATGGCCATCGGCCTATCTTTGAACTAATCCATCACATTTTAGGCTGTACTTTTGTTTTTAAACTTAGGAAAAAAAATAGTAAATGACGATTATGATAATAATTTAAAAAAAAAAAAAATTTTAGTGGTATTAATTAAATTATGTTTATTAATGTTTAAAATTTTACCTAGGTCTTGGCTACTATTGTCTTCAAATAAATATTATTATTACTAAATATTATTTAATTATTTATTATGATTATTATTTAAATTATTATTATTATTATTATTATTTTTATCTTTTTCGTCGTCTTCTTCTTTTCTAAATTCGTCTTCTCCTAATCCTTTTTAAAATTTTTATTATAATTATTATTATTATTATTATTATTATTCAGAAAAAGATTTTTCTATTAGCTACCTCCGTCAAATTATCCTTTTTTTTATAATCTATAATTATTATTATTATTATTATTTATCTCTAATCTTGATTTAATTTAACCTTCGTCTTTAATTATTACAAGCGAATTCTCATTTTTATTTAAAATTATTATAATTATGAACTTTGTTCTTCTTCTTCAAAAAGTCTTTTCTTAAAATATCGTTTCTTCTTCTACATAATTTTCATACCAAAATGAATTTATTTTTATTAATATTATTATTAAAATTATTTTTAAAAATTAAAATTCTAAGCCGTTTCTTCTTTTAAACCAAAATTTTCATAAATCCTGAAACTTCTCAATATTATTATTATCATTATTATTATTATTATTATTATTATTTTCGTCCTTCAATAGAAAAAATCTTCTTCTTGGTTTTTATGTCTTCTCCTTAAAGAATATTAAAGAAATTTCTCAAAATTATTATTATTATTATTTTTATTGTTTTTTTTGTTGTTGTATTTTTTATTTGTCGTTTTTCAAAGTTGATTCTTGATTGATATAACTTTTTTAATATTCAATCAAAATTTACTTATGGTAATTATTATTATTTTATTATTATTCAAATTCTTATTTTTTTTTTTTTTAATATTTTTTCTCCTTCTTAAGTGGTATTTGCTTTATCATTCTTATTCATGTAAAAGTATTTTGTTTTTTAATATTATAGATAATATTTAAATGTCATTCAAAAAAATTGCTTTAAACTTTTCCTTTTCATTTCATATTAAAATCATTTTTTTATCATTAACAATATTTTAAATTTTGTTTTATAAATAATTTTTGCATTTTCTGAAATTTCAATTTTCAATCGGACAGAAATCTTTCTAACTTTCCTGGATGTCTGAAGGCGTTTTACAATATTTTCATTTGACATTTGAAAGCCGCTCATTTCTAAAGGAAAAAAATTTCAGTCATTTCTTAAAATAATCGGTTCTTTTTTCAAAAATAATAGTCTATATATTTCTAAAAAAAATGATAGGCTAGATAAAAAGAAAGATGGTGAATATTGAAAAAAAAAAAGATATCAAATTAATAACATTTTGTACTGTAAAAAAAGAACTACGTAATAACGAAACAAATGTTTAAAAACGAAATAAATCTTCCTGGTTCAAAATGGATTTTTAAATTTAAATAGAAGGCAAGAATTAAAAAATTGTAAATTTATTTTTTTTTTTTCTTCATATGAATTCTATTTATTCCAGTAAAAAAATGACTATAGATAATAAAAATAAAAAAAGAAAACAAAAAAAAATCAAAAAAAAAAAAAATGGAAGAAGAATCTAAATATTCTTTTTCACGGTAATTAATTTTCAATAAAAAAAAAATATAATAGAAGGAAAAATTCATAAAAAAAGAAAGAATAAAATAAATAAAATAAAAATATTAGAAGAAGAAATGAAAAATTTTAAATGAAAAAGTAGATAACAAAGGAAAATAAAAATAAAATTTTGAATAAAAAAAAAAAATTTTCAAAATTTTGCTTTATAAAAAAAAAAGTTGGTTAAGAAAGAAAAAATAAGAAAAAAAAATGGTTTTAAAAAAAAAAAAAAAAAAGGAAATAAAAAGAAAAAGAACTGTGAAATTCTGTTTTGGGAACAGAAATGAAAAAAAACAAAGTTTTAAATGAAAGAAAAAAAATTTAAAAAGAAAATGAAGAAATGAATAAAAAGAAAGAAAAAGAAAAAATAAAAAAAGAATGAAAATAAATGCACTTTGAGAAATAAAAAAAAAGAAAATCCAAAAAAAAGAAAAAAAAAAATAAATTAAGAAAAAAAAAAAAAAAAGAAAAGATGTAAAAAAAAAAAAAAAAAAAAAAAAAATAAAAGATGGAACAAATAAATAAAGAAAGAAAAAATAAAAAGAAAAAAAAAAAAGAAAAATAAATGAAAAACAGAAAATAAAAAAAAAAAAAAAAAAAAAAAAAGAAAAGAAAAAAAAAAGACGCGACAAAAATAAGAATAAATCTTGAAAAAAAAAATCTAAAAAAATGAACGAAAAAAAAAAAAATAATTAACAGAAAAGAAAAAAAAAAAAAATATTCGAAATTGAAAAAAAAAAAAAAAAAGGAAAAATAAAAAAAAAAAATGAGAAAGGAAAATTTAAAAAAAAAAATAAAAGAAATATGCAGATATAAAATAAAGTAAAAAAAAAAAATGAGGTAAATGAAAAGGAATGAAAAAGAAAAATAAAAAATCAAAACAAAGTTTAAAAAAAAAAAAAAATTTTTTAAAAGAAAAAAAGAATAAAAGATTTGAAACAAAAAAAAAAAAAAGTAAAAAAAAAAAAAAAAAAATTGAAAAAAAATATACAAAAAATAAAAAAATGAAAAAAAAAATTTTTTTATTGAAAAAAAAAATCTAAAACAGAAATAAAAAATTTGAAAAAACAAAATGAAAGAGAAAAAAAAAGATGAATAAAAAGATGAAAATAAATAAAAAAATTGAAAAGAAATTTGAAAGAGGAACCAAAGAAGGACTAAAAAAATGGAAAGAAATAAAAAAAATGAAAACAGGTAAATGAAAGCCTAAAAAGAAAAGATGAATAAAAGATGGAACAGAAATAAAAAAATGAAAGAGGTAAATGAAAGAGGAAAGGAAGAAGAATAAAAGATGGAACAGAAATAAAAAAAGAAAGAGGTAAATGAAAGAGGAAAGGAAGAAGAATAAAATTGATAGAACAGAAATAAAAAAAAAGAAAGAGGTAAATGAAAGAGGAAAGGAAGAAGAATAAAAGATGGAACAGAAATAAAAAAAAAAAAAGGTTTTTGAAATTAAAAAAGGAAAGAGGAATTGAAATTGAAAATTCTGATCTTTTTTAAAGGAAAGAATAGAACCAAAGAATTAAAAAATTTGAAAAGAGATAAAAAAGGAAAAAAGATAGAAATTGAATAAAAAAAAAATAAATTTTAGGGAAAAAATTGAAATGAAAAGAAAGAAGAAAAAATTTGAAAAAGGAAAAGAAATTTTGAAATAAAAAGAAAAAATTTGAACATAAATGGAAATAAAAAAAAAAAATTTGAAATATATAAAAATGGTAAAAGGTTTCTGAAAAAAAAAAAAGAAGAATAAAAGACGGAACAGAAATGAAAAAAGAAAGAGGTAAAGGAAAGAAAAAAGGAAGAAGAATAAAAGAGTGAACAGATATGAAAAAATGAAAAAGGTAAATGAAAGAGAAAAGAAAGATGAATAAATGACGGACAGAATGGAAAAAAAAACTTTAGAAAAATTTATGGAAAAAAAGAAAGAAGAAAATAAAAGATGGAAAGAAAAAAAAAAAAAAAAAATTAAAGAAAAAAAAAGGAAGAAGAATAAAAAGACGGAGCAGATAAAAAAAAAAGAATGTAGTTAAAGGAAAGAAAAAAAGAATAATAGTGGAAAAATTAGAAATGAAAAAAAAGAAAGAGGAAAAGGAAAGAGTTTATAAAGAAGAATAAAAAGACGGAACAGAAATTTTTTCAAAAGAGGAAAAAGTAAAATTTTCTGAAGAAGAATAAAAAAAAACAGAAATTTGAAAAAAAGTTGAAAAAAAAAAAAAAAAAAAAAGGAAGAAGAATAAAAAATTTAAAATTTATGCAAAAAAATGAAAAAAGGTAAATGAAAAGAAAAAGAAAAAGATGAATTCATTAACAAAAAATGAAAAAAAGAAAGAGATAAAGGAAAAGAAAAAAAATAAAATAAAAATTGAAACAGTCG